TGCACTGGTGGGGTCCCTCAGCCTGGCCTGCACCCTCTCACAATCCAGGACCCCTCAGGGATGTTGGAGAGCTGGTTTTGGCCAGATCCCCTCAGGCCAGGCTGAGGGACCCCACCAGTGCACGAATTTGTGCACCCGGCCTCTACTGTTATCTATAACCTTGTGTGTGTTTATTCCACATCCTTATTTTCTCCCAGACTTTTGCAGTTTCACTTTCTTTTTTAAAAAAAAATATTTTTATTGAAATCAGAGAAGAGAGAGGGAGAGATGGAAACATCAATGGTGAGAGAGAATCATTGATTGGGTGCCTCTTGCACGTCCCACACTGGGGGTCAAGCCTGCAACCCAGGCATGTGCCTTTGACTGGAATTGAACCTGGAACCCTTCAGTCCCCAGTCTGATGCTATATCCATTGAGCCAAACCGGCTAGGGCTGCAGTTTCACTTTCAATGCCTACAGCTTTTTTTTTTTTAAGTGCCCTTGACTAGAATTGAACCTGGGACCCTTCAGACCGCAGATCAATGCTCTATCCACTGAGCCAAACCCTCTAGGGCTATCAATGCTCTATCCACTGATTGTCTGTCTTTGGGGCCAGTCCTTCAGTGGCTGCTGCCATGATAATTAGCAACCAGAAGTCATCTTTGAAGTCATCTATAATAATAAAAGCGTATCGCTTCTCAGCCTTTTGGCTAAGATCAAGTGTAATAATAAAAGCGTAATATGCAAATCAACCAAACGGCCAAACAGTGGAATGACTGTCCGGACAACCATGCTATGACACCCACTGGTGCCAGGCCAACCAAGGCGGGTACGATGCGATTGGTCAGGGGCCCAGCCATCGCCCCATGATCGCCCTGCAGAGGGAGGCCCAGGCCTGTGGGCTGTGGCAGGTGGGCAGGGCCTCCCTCTTTGGGAGTGATCCATCATGGAGCCCCGGTGAAGTAGGTGGGGCCTACGTCTTTGGGGAAATCGAGGGTGCAGGCTGGGCTGAGGGACCTCCCCTGCACCCGCCCCCACGAGTGCACTGGGCCTCTAATTTTGGTATAAAGAGTAAACACGATCCAGCTCTACCTTTTTTCCAAAATGCTTACCAGTTCTCACTATTGTCAGGGCTGGCTTCATGGCTGACACCGTGTAGCTTACAAAGCCCTGAGAGAGCTTAGAACACAGGCACTTTTAAAGGCTAAGATAGACGTAAACATGAGTAGAACTTTTGCTATTTTATTTCTGCCCTCCAAGCTCCGGGTGTGGGAACCTCCCTTTGTTGCCTGGAGGCATGGCTGTGTGGTGCTGTGTGGCCTGTAGATGCTGCTCCCCCATCTGCCCCTTCCTTTCCCCCATTTCTCATTTGTGAAACCAAATTATTTCTCTCTCTCTCTTTTTTTTTATCCTCACCAGAGGAGTGAGGATTTTTCCCCCATTGATTTTTAGCAAGAGTGGAAGAGAGGTGGAGGGGAGAGAGAGAGAGAGAGAGAGAGAGAGAGAGAAACATTGATGTGGGAGAGACACATTGGTTGCCTCCCACACACACCCTGATCAGGGGTAGGGATCAAACCTGCAACCCAGGTACATGCCTTTGACTGGGACTCGAACCTGAGACCCTTCGGTGCATGGGCCGATGCTCTACCACTGGGCACACCAGCCAGGACACCAAATTGTATCTTAACCTGCTCTGGTTAGTGACCCTTTCTGAGCATTTATACATACAAGGACCATGTGTACAGGGCGTGTGCACGGCAGCCGCAGTTCTGCAGACAGAGTACTTCCCAGACTCCCAGTCACGCTGGGAGGTGGCCAAGAGGGCCAAGCTCAGGTGATCCGTCCTGCAGATTTTCAGACACATCCTGCAGCGAGAGTTCTCGGGACCGTACCAGTGCCTTTCCCGGAAGTTCACTGAGTGGTGCTACGGGCCGGTCCGGGTGTCACTGTATGACCTGGCCTCTGTGGACAGCTGGGAGGAGAACTCGGTGCTGGAGATCATCACCTTTCACTGCCGGAGCCCGGTGAGCCCGCCCTGCAGACACTCCCTGCAAGCTCCCCACCCAGGCAGTCTGCTGGCCAGTGGGGTGTGGCTGCAGGTCCTGACCCCACACTCATCCCACACGCCAGTCCCACCTGCTCTGGACAGGAGAGGCCCTCAGCCACTCCCTAGTCAGGAGGGTGGGGTGGAGGCAGGTGGGAGGGGTCAAGCGGGGCTCCCCATCCTCTCCTCTCCTCTCCATTCCCTCAGCCCTTGCACTGAGCCCATGAGTGGGCCCCTGTGTACACCTGCTGAGTGTCCCCTGGCGCTCACATTCCCACCCCAGCACCGACACCAAATGGTGGTTTTGGAGCCGCTGAACAAACTGCTGCAGGCGAAATGGGACCTGCTCATGCCCAGGTTCTTCTTCAACTTCCTGTGTTTCTTGATCTACATGCTCATCTTCACCGCTGTTGTCTACTGCGAGCCTGCCCTGGAAAAGGCAAGGCTGGGGAGGGGAGGGGGCTTACCCTGGGGAGGCCCCTGGAAATAGCCCTGGAAGAAGCTGGGACAAGGACACCCTCCACCTCCCAGCCCCCGCTTGTGCTGAGGCTCTGACTGCTGAGTGATCCTCAGGCTTTCCAGCCGGGCCAGTGGGATGCCAGCTCCACAGGAGTTAACACTCACCATATGTGAGAAAGAGTCTAAGTGATTGACTTGTATTCACTTTAATTCAATTTCACAACAACCCTCTGAGATGAAGTATTGTCCCCGTTTGCAGTGGAGGGAAGGGAGGGACAGAGGGGCAAGTAACTCACCCAGGCTCACACAGGCTGTAAGTGTGGAGATGGGATCTGAACCAGGCAGCCCGGCTTCCGATTCCCCCTCACAACTGCTCCGCACGGTGGACTAGAATCCAGTGGGCCTGCCCCGAGCCCAGGTTCCTGCTGCCGCTCCGAGGGGAGGGGCCGCTCCACAGCTCAGGCTCAGAGTGGGTCCTCAGCTCTGGCGCTCGGAGGGAGGGCCATTGGGAGGGGACCCTAGGTCCTACCTGAGTGTCTCCTCACAGGCCTTCCTCCCCATGAAAGGGACAGTGAGAAACTCCCTGCAGCTACTGGGCCACATCCTGATCCTGCTTGGGGGCGGCTACCTCCTCCTGGGCCAGGTGAGGGCTCCTTCCTCTCCCCCACTCCACGTGGCTCCAGCCTGCCCAGGGGCCGCGAGGAGCCTTAGAGCCAGGTAACCACAGTACCTTGGTTTATGGGGAAACTGAGAACCAGTCCCACCCTGACTGCCTCTGGGCGGTTGAAGGCCTCGCCTGCTGGGGCTGCTACCCTCCTACTATGCTTTCTAGAGCAGCAGTCGCCAACCTTTCGGACCTCATGGACCACCGGTTGGCGACCGCTGCTCTAGAGTGCCCGTGGTGTAGGGAATGGCTCCTATGACTCCTTGCCAGTGCCAGCTAGCCCCCCGGGGAAATCGAGCTGGAAGCCCCAGCCCCTAGGTCCCTGGGCTGGGGCATTCCTCCCTTTGGGAGCACAGAAGGTGGGGCTCAGCCCACTCCCCCAGCCGGGTTTCTGCCTTTGAAAGTGCTGCAAGCTCGCAGGAGACAGCTGGGCATGGCACTGACTCTCAGAGTGGGCAGAACCTGGGCACCAACTCCAGGTCGGCTGGAGCCCAGGGTGGTGCTGGGGGGGCAGGGAGAGGGAGGGCAGGGAGCTCCCCCCTTACCATAAGCAGTGCATGAGCTCTGGTTCCGGATCCACACGGAGCCAGGAGGCCCTGGCATTGCCTCGGGTCTGTGGGCGGCTGCACTTTTTGGAAACAGGGTCCTAACCTTTCTTAGCTATCAGCAAAATTCATGAGCTCCTCTGAAAAGTTGCACAGGCTCCCACATGATGAGAAGGCAGGGGCAGGTGGGAGCTCAGACCCGGGCCAGGGGGCGGGAGGTGGGCAGGAGGGAGGGCTGTGTGTGGCCTGGAGAGCAAGTTTCCCACGCCTGTCCTCCCTCCCGAAGCTGTGGTACTTCTGGAGGCGTCGTCTGTTCATCTGGATCTCGTTCTTGGACAGCTACTTCGAACTGCTCTTGTATGTGGGGCCTTGCTCCTCCTCCATCTCGGGCCCTGGAGAGGTGGTTGTGGCAGAGGGCAACCCGCAGCTTTAGAGGGGAGGACCCAGGGCCGAGGGGCCCCAGGGGTTTGGAACCAGAGGCCAGACTCATGAGTCCAGCTGTCCAGCTTGGGGTTCCCTACGCTCCCATCCGTGTAGAGCATTTACTGACCCTCACTGTGCATGGATGGAGCCTGAACTCTTTCTATGTCTTGTCTCATTGAACCCTCACAAATGCTCTGTGGGTCAGGTGGTTACTGTTACCTCATATCCTGGGGAGGGAACTGAGGCCCACAGGGGTGAACTAACTGCTTGGGGTGGAGGTCAGGACCTGATGGGGTCTAGACAGGTGGAGAACTCACCCATCAGACTGCAGCGGGAGAGGCAGTGGTGGTCAGCATTGGCCAGTGGGGACTAAGGGGGTCTTGTCAAGTGGCCTGCAAGCTGACCCTGTCCCTGTCCGCATTCAGCCTGGTCCAGGCCCTGCTCACGGTGCTGTCTCAGGTGCTGCATTTCCTGGCTATTGAGTGGTACCTGCCTCTGCTTGTGTCCTCGCTGGTGCTGGGCTGGCTGAACCTGCTTTACTATACACGCGGCTTCCAGTACACAGGCATCTACAGCGTCATGATCCAGAAGGTGAGAGGCAGGGGTGGCCCCGCTGCAACCGACTGGGCAGGGCTGGGCACCACACTCCAGCGGGACTCCTTCGGCCTCAGCAGTCAGGTGACTTCTTCCACAGCTCACCTGGGCAGAGAACATGAGTATGTGCATCACGGACCCAGACACTCGCGGAGTGTCAGCAAGAGTGTGGGTGTGCACATACCTGCTCTCAGGGGTCTGCACTCTGCCTACGTAAGCAAATACCTGCACTTGTGTGTCTGCAAGTGTCCACACGGGAGCACGTGCATGCTTGCACACTGAAGGAGCAGAGACTATGCACACAAGCCCATTATATGCCTGGACAGCTGGGCATATGGGTGTGTCTGCATTTATTTATTCAACAAATGTTTAGCAAGTCCATACTATGGACCAGGCCCTGTTTTAAGTGTTAGGAATACACTCTTCTGCTCACTAACAAAATAGACAAGTCCATGCTCTTTTGAAGCTGACGTTCTCTTGGGGGAAATGAAGGCACCACAAAAACAGATGAGAAGATTACTGACTGCTAACTCCTATGAAGGGAACACAGAGGACAGAGTGACAGAATGATTGGGCAGAGAGCTTTAGATAGAGTGGTCTGCAAGGCCCCTCTGAGGAGGTGGCGACTGAGACCTGAAAGAGTGATTCAGCATAGACTCAAGGAAGAAGATTCGAGACAAAGAGAACAGCAAGGAAAAGGCAGGAGTCAAAACAAGGTTGAAGTGCTGAGACAGATTAGGAGGCAGGGTGTGTGAAGGAGATGAAGGTGAGGATGCGGGGTGAGTGAAGGAGGTGAAGGTGAGGATGCGGGGTGAGTGAAGGAGATGAAGTTGAGTGCGGGGTGAAAGGAGGTGAAGGTGAGGAGGGTGGGTGAGTGAAGGAGGTGAAGGTGAGGATGCTGGGTGAGTGAAGGAGGTGAAGGTGAGGAGGCTGGGTGCATGAAGGAGATGAAGTTGAGGGGGAGTTGTTGCCCATAGGAAGGGGTCTGGAGGCCCAGAAGACTTTAAAAAATTTTTAATTGTGGTAAAATGTACATAAAATTTACCATTTTAACCTTTTTTTAAAAAAATTATTAATCCTCACCCGAGGATATTTTTCCATTGATTTTTAGAGAGAGTGGAAGGGAGGGGGAGAGACGCAGAGACAGAAACATCAATGTGAGAGAGACACATCAATTGGTTGCACCCCACCGAGGCACGTGCCCTTGACCAGAATCCAACCTGCAACCCTTCGGTCCACAAGCCAATGCTCTATCCACTGAGCCAAGCTGGCTAAGCCTTAACCTTTTTAAGTGTACAAGTCAGTGGCGTTAAGCACATTCACATTGTTGTGCAACCATCACCACCATCATCTCCAGAACGTCCATTATCCCACACTGAAACTCTGCACCATTGCCCTCCCCAGCCCACGGCAACCACTGTCTCTATGAACTTGATGACTCTAGGTGTCACGTATAGATGGAATCAGGCAGTATCTGTCCTTTTGTCACTGGCTTATTTCACTGAGCATAGTATTCTCAAGGCTCATCAGGTTGTAACGTGTCAGAATTTCCTTCCCTTTTGTTTTTGTTTTGTTTTTTTTCGTTAATCCTCATTCGAGGATATTTTTTCCCATTGATTTTTAGAGGGAGTGGAAGGGAGGAAGAGAGGGGGAGAGAGGAACATCGATGTGAAACAGACACATTGATTGGTTGTCTCCTGTAGGTGCCTCAGGGATCAAACCTGCAACCCAGGTACATGCCCTTGACCAGGAATTGAACCCTGGGGCGACACTGTAATCACGGAGACATGCAGGCCAGGGCAGAATTTCCTTCCTTTTAAGATTGAATAGTATCCCATTGGATGGATATACCACGTTTTGTTTATCCCTTCATTCATCAATGGACACCTGAGTTGTTCCCACCTTTTGATATTGTGAATAATGTGCTATGAACACTGATGTGTACAAATACCTACTTGAGTTCCTGTTTCCAATTCTTTTGGGTATATACCCAGATGTGGAATTGCTGAATCATATGGTAACTCTATGTTTAAATTTTTTTACCCTGGAGGGTTTTAAGCAGGAAAATTATATGATCTGATGTAGACTTTTAAAAGACCCGTTTGCTCAGTGTAGCTCCACAGGGCCTGTGTATGCACACACACGTGTGTGTGTGTGTGTGTGTGTGTGTGTGTGTGTGTGTGTTTTCCTTTTCTTTTTTTGCCATTTGGTATACACTAAGGGGTCATTAAACTACATCGCAGGCCAAATCTGGTTCCCGGCCTGTTTTGGTAAATAAAGTTTTATTGGCACACAGCTATGCCCATGTGCTCACATACTGTCTATGGCTAGGGCTGCTTTCATGCTCCAACCACTGAGCTGAGGGATTAAGGGGCTATATCACCCCTTAAAATGTTTCTATCTGGCCCTTTACAGGAAAACTTTAGTGACCCCTCAGATATTCTCCTTATGTCTACGGCCATATATTAGAAGAATTCTAGTTTCTTGTTGATTTGTAATACCTCTTTATATATGAATGACTTTTTGTCACCCACTGAAAACATTTGGAATTTTGAAGAGAAAAGTGTATAACTTTTATGTACTTACATCTGTCCATCTTTTCCTTTCTGGCTTTGGCCTTAAGAGTCAGGCTTAGTGATCACCCTGAGGTTGTAGACGTGTTCCTCATCGGTGTTTTCATCACAGTGCCTCTACGGGGATAAAAGGTCAGGGGTGCTTGTGGCAGACCTAGCACCACTGGCCTCAATTCTGTTCTGAGAAAGTGATACTCAGTGACCACCTTAACCACTCGGCTCATGGCTTTCTCTGCTGTTGACTCACACAAAAGCCACTGAGGACTCCAGGGCCCCATAAGAAGGGTGACGATTACTGAGCTTAATAGCACGGTCTCTGTACCACCCGCCATATAGTGTCCCTGTTTGTGAAATGGGTCCTGGGTTCCGGTCCTGATCCCCTCACCTGCTATGGCAGAGGACTGCCTGTCTCTGTTTCCCCATCCATAGAGTAAGCATATTCTATGACTAGGTTTGGTGTGAGAAATAACTTAGCCCTTAGAACAGTGCCTGACACACAGCAGGTGCTCAATGTGTTAATTATTATCATCATAATTATTATTAAGTCTTCTTGAGTGCCTACTATGGGGCTAGGCACAGTTTTAGGTTCTAAACGCATAGCAGAGAACAAGACAAAGTCTGCCCTCACGTAGCTCCCATCCTGTGCTCAGCATATACTGAGTGGGTGGTTTTGGTGGGCGAGGCAGGCAGGCTGTGCCATCAGAGGTCCCTGCAGCTGGGGCTGATAAGGCACCACCTACAGTGGAGGAAGCCAAAGCTGCTCCTTGACCTGGGAAGGTTGGGTGCAGGCCTGGGCAGTTTGTGTAGGGAGAGCCTTGCCCAAGAGGCTGGACCGTGTTACCAATTCCCTGCTGACCTTGGGTAAGCCCCTGTCTTCTCTGAGACTCCGTGGCCTTACCTGCAAAGTTCTGTCCCCACCTACTTTGTGTGTCAGTGGGCAGGCACATGTGTGGGTTAGAGCAGATGAACTTCGGTACCTGTCGGTGTGACATTCTGGGGCCTGTAATGATGCCGTAGCCAGTGACTGCCGAGCACTCTACATGCAGACTTCCCCTAAGCCCCAGGTCTGTAAGTGGGGAAGCTGAGGTTCCCGGGGTTGAGGCCGACACCACGCAGGTAATCAAACACTGGAGCTGGGTCCAGCCTGGTGCTCAGTGGACTTAGGCCTGTACTTACTGTAAAGTGCGTGGCGCATCTCCCTGGCTGCTCTGTCTGATGTGTCCTTTGTCCCCAGAAAGCCATCTCTGTCCTGGAGATGGAGAATGGCTACTGGTGGTGCAGGAGGAAGAAGCAGCCGGCAGGGGTGAAGCTGAGGGTTGGCACCAGGCCAGATGGTAGCCCGGATGAGCGTTGGTGCTTCAGGTGAGTGAGGGGCAGGGGAGGGAGCTGAAGGCCGGCCTTACTCCTCTGAAAGCCAGGGACAGCGGCCAGGAGCCGGGGTGTTGGGAGAGGCAGGACTTAGGAGTGACAGGGGACTGAGCCTGCCCTGGGAAGGCGAGGTCAGGGATGCTGGATCTCATAGGCCCAGGGCTGCCACTGCCTGTCTGGCCATCTGTCTGTCCCTGTGGCTTAAACTGAAGGTCCCTGACCTACTTCTCTGGCCTGGAATCGGGTACAGTTAAGAGGCCGAGAAGCCAGAGGGACCCTCAGGTTATAGCACACCAGCCTCGCTGCCGCTGGTCTGACCTGCCCTCCTAACTCCCCACATGACCAGGGGCTACAACCCTTTCACAGAGAACAAACTCTTCCATGCCCGTGGGGGACCCGGCACTGAGAGAGGCCACTCGGTGACAGATGCACAGACAGAAACAGGCTTTCAGGAGATAAGAATTAAGCAAGGAGAGGGAGAGTCTCAGGCAGGTAGCGCAGCCCACTGGGCCCCAGCGGGGACACGGAGGCACACCTGACCTAAACCCTTCGCTGGACGTTCTGGGCACCCAGGTCGCTGGGGACCGCCTGCAGGACAGGTGCCTGTTCCTCCCCACGGGCACCCGGCTCAGGACAGTGGCCACAGCAGCAAGGGCTGAGGGGGCTGGTGGTGGCCGGGGTCTTGTGCAGAGACCCATCCTCCTGGCAGTCCCTGTGTCCCCCGGAAGGTCTGCTCAGCCCACCACCCAGGGCCAGGGCCCTCCTGGGCGCAGCAGGCCGAGCTGGCTCCGCAGCTCACAGCTGCTCTGCCCCCCAGGTCGGAGGAAGTGAACTGGGCTGCCTGGGAGCAGACGCTGCCCACAGTGCGCGAGGAGCCTGCGGGGCCAGGCGACCCCGGTGAGTAACCCTGTGGGAGACTGTGTTCCCATGTGTGTGGTCACATGCGTGTGTTTGCATGTGTGTGTTTGTATGTGTGTCTGCTTGGCCACATAGCTATGCAGAGTCTGGGGCAGGACCTTTGCTGTGGCCATTCCTGAGCTACACTCATTTGAATAAATGCCCCCCTGAAAGTGGTGCTCCCCTCCCCCCCCCCCCCCCCCCCCGGGACCCCCTCCAGGCCATTAGTGCTTTCACAGCCCAGCCTGCACCCCGACCTCCTCGCCTGCCTTCACCTGCCCTCACCTCCCGCCTCTTCACACCGTCCCCTCCTCCTCGCAGGCTCCAACCCCCCCCCCCCCCCCTTCCCATCCAAGTGCCAGGGCTGAGCCTGGAGCCCAGCAGGGGAACCGGCTAGGGAGGCCCCTCCCCACCATAGCACAGGTGGCATCTCTGGCCCCCACGGGCTCTGTCCTCTCGGCCCTGCTGACCAGAGCACCGAGCCTCTTCCCACCTCCAGCCGGTTCCTCTGTGCCTGTCCCGCCTTTCCGGGCCTGCGTCCTCTCCTTCCCAGCGTGTGAGAGCCCCCCTTGTCCCCCTCCCTGCTTCCCACCATGGGTGACTCCTTCCTCCCACCCAGAGGCCTCTTCCGAGAACCAGCTCTCTTCACAGCACACCCTCCTGGAACCTTCGGTAGCTCCCATCTCAGCCTCTGTGAGCTGCTTCCTCTCCTTCCTCATCCTCTTTCAGAAGACTCCACTTGCTTGCGCCTCTGGCCCAACCCCTCCCACGACAGCCTCCTGCATCTCCTAGGACCCCTGTAGGGGACTCATCTGTCCTCCTGCTTCACAGCCGACTGGCTTCCCAGGTCCAGGGTCCCTGACGAAGGCCCTGGCAGCCCGGCGGGCTTCCTGTCTACCCGCCTTGTCCTTAATTCTGAGTCCTGCTGCCCCGTCACTTCATTGCCAAGATTCTAAAAGTCAACTTGCTCCTCATCTTGCCCCAAGCATTCCATACCCCAGCCTCACACACGGGGCCTGCTGGGCCTCCACCGGGACATCCCAAACAGGAACAGCGGTGGGGCGGTTCCAAGCATTCCATACCCCAGCCTCACCGGGACATCCCAAACAGGAACAGCGGTGGGGCGGTCCTACCAGGCCCATGTCACTGCACCCACTCCTCACCAGGTGAGGGCCTTGCCGGTGTCCTGCCCTCCTGCCCCCATCTGGTGCCGAGTGTCCTGGAGACCCCACGGGCAGCCCTTGCCCTCTGCCCGACTCCGCATCTGCTGACTGTGCTGCTGCAGGGCTGCTTTGCCTGCACCCCGACCTCCAGACAAGCCTCTCTCTCCAGTGTCTCCCACTCCAACTCCTCTTTGTAGGAAAAACTACACGTGCCCCACGACACAATGCCCCCCTCTGCCTGGAAGGCTACCCTTTCAGTGCGCAGGTCAAGGACCAAAGCTGCTGTCCACCCCCCGACCCCCCCAGCTCTCTCCACGTGACAGCCAGTCCAGTCTACAGTGCTCCCTGTCCTTCGCCTGCCTTGGGTCTTCTCTCTGTCGAAAGTGCCCTTCCTGCTCCTCTGGGTGTCCAATCTGCCCCCGCCCTGTGGGTGCGGTCCCTCTCTCCTCTGAGCTCCCGAGCACCTAACTCTCACTTCCCTCCAGCTCTTCAGCGAGTGTGTGTGTCTCCGGTGTCCTGGTTTCTAATGAAATAGTCTGTCTCCTGGGAGGAGGCCCACCCCAGGCACATGCAGGGGTTCAGGAAATGCTGTGGAAGGAGGGAGGCGGGGGACGGGTTGCTGGGGACTTCAGGATCCCCTGCTGTCCACAGGCCAGATGTGGTTTCAGGGGGGGCCTTCTGCTGCTTCCCTAGCGCCTGAATCCCGGGCACACACCGCAAGGGCCAAGTCCCAGTGTCTTCACCCATTCACAGGCACCAGGAAGAGCCCTGCCCCAGCCGCCCGCCCCGGGAAGGACGGTGCCCTGGAGGAAGACCACCTGCCCCTCCAGCCCCTAAAGTCCCACTGACGGACGGCCAGCGCAGCAGGAGGCCGGCAGGACGGCGCCAAGGAACTTTCCTAGGGAACAAATCTCAGTATTTTCTCAGGACTAACCCTACCGGAGAGATTCTAGCAAAGTTACCGGGACCCTAGGCTGGTCGACGTCTGCATGACTCTGTGAGCAGGAGCCCGTGTCTGGGGCTGGGCTGCTCCCGCCCTCACCTGGGCCCAGGAGACCCTCGCCTGCTGCCCCCCAGCCTTGAGCTGTTCTCTTCCTGGGTAAAGGGAGCTGGCCAGGTGGCTCCTGTTCTGGCAGCTGCGTGGTGGTGGACATGCACTAGCACGGCCTCCCTCTTACCTCTCCCATAGCCCCAGGCACCTCCAAGCCACCTCCAAGACGCCTCTCAAAGCCCTTGTGGGCCTCGGCTTAGTTTGGACTCTGGAGTATTGCTTTCTCTCCCCACTGGCGTCCTGCTTAGTCTATACTCTGGCAAGCCGTTCTCTCAGAGCAGGCAGAGGGCACTTGCTAAGACACAAGAGAACTGTGATACTTCTGTGCTCGGGAGGCTTGAGGCTCCCTGTGCGCACAGGTACTCTAGCTGGCACCCCCAGCACTCAGCGGTTTTGCCCAAGCATTTCCAAGCATCTCTCCCATACCCCTGCGGCCCCCATGTTCTCCTTAGTACTTTCACCAGATTCTTCACGCAGGCGGAGGGGACATGTGGGTCTGACCCCATGACTTGGCTCTCTCTGGAAATGAAACTGGAAAAGTTGGTGTTCATGCTGCCTGTCACCATCAGAACCAATCAGTAGAGACAAGGATTGCATCTTTATGGGTGTGATCTGAGAAGACAGTAGGTTATGTACCCTAAAAAGATTGTCTTGCATCTCAGATCAAGCCGACCCTTTTTATAAGGAGAAGAAAAGTGTAGGTAAAGGGTTTGGAATTCAGGGGAAAACAGGTGAGGGGTTTGGAATTCAGGGGAAAAGGTGAATGGGATAGAAGCTGCAGTCCAGGGGTTTTCCTAGCATCCCTTCACCTGCTGACGGGTGATTCTTTTCTTTCTTTTTTTCTTTATTGTTGAAAGTATTACATATGTCTCCTTTTCCCCCCATTGACCTCTCCCAGCCCACCCGTTTTTTGTTTTAGCTTTTTAAAGTATATTTTTATTGATTTTAGGGAGGAAGAGAAAGGGAGATAGGAACATCAGTGATGAGAATCATTGATCGGCTGCCTCCTGCACGCCCCCTACTGGGAATTGAGCCCGCAACCCCGGGCATGTGACCTGACCAGGAATTGAACTGTGACCTGATTCAGAGGTTGACACTCAGCCACTGAGCCCCGCAGGCCAGGCCTGACCAGTGACTCTATCTGTGCCCTGGGCAGTGGACATTCTTTCCCTGGAGCACAAGGCTCAGATACCGCCTTGCAGTTCTCCTGGGGCGCAGAGGTCGAAGTGCGTGTGGGTCTCATGAAGTCAGGGCAGGTCCAGTCATAATTTCAGGCCCTGGAGCAATAGCTTTCCAAATGCACGTTACCAAGCCTACTAACTATATATCTGAAGCTAAATTTTTTTTAACTTCTTGAGTTCCCATCAGAAATTCCCTCCCTGTGTATCACATGATCTCACGCATATGTGGAATCTAATGAACAAAATAAACTGATGAACAAAATAGATCCAGAGACATAGACACATGGAACAGACTGTGGAATCTCAGAGGGAAGGTAGAGGTGGGTGGGTGGGAAGAGATCAACCAAAGAATTTGTATGCATATATGGTGGACATAGATAGAGTGGTGAAGGTCTGGTATGGGAGGGGGCTAGAAGGGGTTGATGGGGGGAAAAGGGGGACATATGTAATACTTTTAACAATAAAGATTTAATTTTAAAAAAATCCCCTCCCTCCAATAAGATACTACACTTATTTCTAAGATCAGCTCAAGAGTTGTTATCTCACTATATAGGGTGTCCCCCCTAAAATGTATACACATTTATATACACAAATGTATACAAATTGTGATATTCCCCCCAAATGTATACACACACTCTGAATAATTATAAAGGCAGTGTTTATTAAAATACATTTCATTTTTAAAATTGAGCTACCAGCTGTCAAAGTGTGCATACATTGTTTTGGGGCACCCTCATATAGCCTTTCCAATTTACTCCAGTAAAATGAATTGCTCTCCTGCGCCTGGTGTGGCTCAGTGGTTGGGCATCAACTTAGGAACCAGGAGGTCAAGGGCTCAATCCCCAGTAGGGAGCATGCAGGAGGCAGTGATCAATGATTCTCATCATTGATGTTTCCATCTCTCTCCCCCTCTCCCCCCCTCTCCCTTCTGCTCTGAAATCAATAACAAATATATTTTTAAAAATAAAAATGAATTGCTCTCCCTTGGGGTAATGGGTGTTTATATAATGTGTATGCACGATTGCATATTAATTTTTAAGTGAAAGGAAGACCTGAGTTTGCTCACTTGCGGACAGGCCGAGGTTTCCATTGCTGAGAAGGGGGCATGGGGGTCAGGAAAGGAGCGGGGGAGGATGGCAGCTCGCTCCTCTGAGGTCATTCTAAGGAGCGCACGGTGCGGGACTCCGCCGAGGCTTTGAAATAGTTGCGGGGAGCGCGCGACTGGCAACGTTTCTTAGAATCAGGTCGCCCTCCCTGCCAGGCTCTGCAGGTCTCAGGTGCGGGATCTCATGTGATCGTCAGGACAACGTGGTGTGGCCCGGCTTCTCCATTTTCCTGACGAGCAGGCGGAACCTCACAAAGATGAGTCCGTTGCTCAAGGTCACGCTGCAAAGCCGGGGCAGGGGCGGGACCTCCAGGCGGCCCCG